CTCAACCCTCATGGCTATATCTTGTATCGGCAACCCGTCTACACGGGCATTCACTGYGTCTATTTCTCCAAACTTCTCGGAGAATTCATCAACTCGCGCCTCCAGCAGACGGAGGGAATCTGGGACTTCTCTTAGGTAGAGAAGTTGTTCTTCTATCTCTACCAGTCGGTCGACGTGCGACTTGCTTAGTTGTTTTGTCACCGACATGGTTCCGGACTTTTTCGGGTCGAGGAGCTAACTAAGCTCTGATACCACTTGTCACAATCGCACCTTTTCAAAGCAGCTCGAGCGATTGTGTGGCACTTGCTCTAGCTCAAACGAGCAAGTCAGCCAGGAAAAACTGTAAGTTGCGGACAATCTCGGTCGTGGGTCTAGCCTCCGCTCACGTTTTAAGAGAAAATTGGTTTTTAGAAAACGTGAGAGAGAAAAACAGTTGAAAACATCTTTAAAACAAGCATTGTAGACATTAGATGCAAGAAAGCTTTGATTGCAAGAAAGTATACAACACTTGGTCGGGGGGAGGTTTGATGACTACTTGGTCCCCCCTAAGGTACATTATAAGGCATTTTTGGTGTGGCAGGTGTAGACGTCCTAAGTGGCGAGGAGTCACTCGATGGCCTACAGGGCCCGTGTGAACTCCGATTGGCTTGACTCGGTGGAAACCATCTCGTAGGCTCCCACTCCTCTTCAGTTAAGTATTTTCTTTTTTAAAGTTTCTTCTAAGAATATTTAAGTTGTATCTTTTTCTTAAATTCTTTATTATTTACTAACTTTTTTTTTTACTACTTCTTTACTAACTAATTAACATAATGAAAGTAATGTATTTTAGTTTTGGAGACAACTACCACTTATTGATTAGAGATAAGTGTTTTTTCTAATTGAGTAATCAAGTTGGCATAAGTATTTATTAATTACATTTATGAATAAAAATTGAAAAGTAGACACCGTAACCACGTGCTCTCTAATCCTCTGAGCTAGAGGCCCCACCCCGTCTCCACTGGAAAGATATGAAGCAACAGTATATCCACTACACTACTCATGAATTTTTGGAGTTAAAGCTACTAAATAATATATAATATAAAACATTATACTTTTTTTATTTTCAGAAATAAACCGACCGGATGGTCTCTTCCCACATGGTCGTCTCTTAAAAAAAAATTTACGTGGCGCCCGCGTGGCGTCACGTCTAAATGAAGAGACGACCAACTTTCAGTTTTTTAAAACTACAATATTTTTAAAATAAGTTTCAAAATCTTCAATATTTTTAATATTTTTAATTAAACAACCATATTTTTAAAATAAGTTTCATTTACAACAATATTAAAAAAAAACCGGGTAAAACACCGGTACCAGTTAAGTCCAGCTTATGCTTCAAATTTTTTTTTCTTTTTTTTTTTTTGCAAATTCATAAATTGATTCTTAATTCTTATATAGAATCAAATTGAACGGGCAACCCATTACTCACTTCTTTTTTCCCTTTTATTTCTAATATTTAAAACTTATTTTGAAAAATAATGTTATTTAGAAATTTATTCAAAAGAATAATATTTTGAAAACTTCACCACAAGCTCTATGTTTTCATAATAATTGATTTCAAGAGATAACATACCAGTTTTTTTTTTCGACCTACTGCTAAAGCGAATTTAGCATTCTTTTCAAGAAACCACCTAGTGCTAAAGGAATTCCTAAATTATTGTTTTTCGAAAAAGTTTAGAATTAATGTTATTTTCCTAACAAGTTTAAATATTAGGAATATTAAAAAAAAAAAATTGGACAAACCAACCATTATATTTTAAAGTTGGGTCAGGTTGGAGCACCGGGCTGTGCCTTTTTTTTTTCTTTTTTATTTTTTCACAAACAAATGACAAATGACAAATGACAATTAAATTAGCCAACAGAATGGAAAATGGTATTTACAAACGTAAACGAGTAATAATGTATTTTTCAATTTTCACTCAGAAGCCAGAATTCATTCCCCTGCTTTGCTCTGTGTTATGATCGGCGGCTGCTGAAAGCAAAAGTGGTCTTTGAATTTGCTGTTCTTTTGCTATGGAGTTAGAATCATACTACGAAATTTCCCGCACCGCCGACTTCATTCATACCCGCAACTTCACCACAGTCGCATTGCAGGTATTAGAGCTTGATTTAACGATGAAAAGTTTCGGTCTTGTGTTCTTCGAAATCTTGTGCTTCGAGCTTGATTTAACTCGAGTTATTGCTCCCGTTGGGTTGCCGATAACTATTTCCTACTCGATAGTTGATTTTGATTCTCTTTCCTTTCGGTACATGCTTATTCATATTCTTCTGAGTACCTCAAACAGAATTTTGAGCTGGAATTTATTTTTTTGAACTCTCTTATGTTTAATTCTGACGCCCTTTTCTTTTCATTCGTTGTTTTATTACTTTAAAAATGTTTAGTTCCCTGATGAGCTCTTGAAGGATTCAACTAGAGTTGTGAGATCTTTAAGGGACAGGCTTCGTGAGCTTAATGAATCTGATACAAATCGAAGCGACAGCGGAAACGAGGTTAGGTTGTTCATAATGGCTGATACGACTTACGGTAGTTGTTGTGTTGATGAGGTTGGAGCATCTCACGCTAATGCTGATTGTGTCATACACTATGGACATACGTGTCTGAGCCCGTGAGTACCGATATACTATGGACATCGTGCTTTCTAACGCAAGGTTTTTATTTTCTTTTCACCTTGCACTTGCAGTCCCCTTAGAAATCAGCATCTAAGTTTTTGACCTGTTTCTGCAAATGTCCGCAAGTGTTTGTGCTGTTCCTGGTTTTTGCACTTTTTAGTGAGAAACTATAGTAACTAAAAAACTTGTCATCCTTGGAAGTGGATTATGAATGAAGGTAGTTTAATTTGTCATATTAAACGATTGGTGGGTGCATTTAAAGTTTTTCGTTGCAGTATCAGCATAATGCTTCGAAAGTCTCTAATAGAAATGATATGGTATAAAAGTCTTAAATATTTTCTGAAATACTATTGGCCCTGTAGATAAGTTAATTAAATGAATTATTTTATGTTATCAACCATCGCATTAGAGGTATGAGGCATCGCATTTATGGCTGGAAAGAAATCGTCGTATTTTTTAAGACAAGTCTCTACTTCTTGGCATTTTTTTTTGTAGAAGTGTACAACACACTGTTTCTTGGTGGTGCATCAATTACAGGAAATTCTTTTGTAACTACAATCTTTCAACGTTTATGGACAACTGGAAAGCTTTTCTTTAGTTTTTCTTGGGTGGGGTTATCTCTACTCCAGCCCTTAGGTCGTTTCCTTCCTTTGTGGTGGTATATACAGGTTTCTTATAACAAAAAAAAAATAACCATCGCATTAGAGGCATCTACATGGTTATGCTAACTGCTGGATGATTGAACATTCCCCATTCCTCGTGATTGAGCAAATTTGGTGCTGACTTGACTGATTATAAGTGCACCTTTGGTAAAAGTGGAGGAGTATCTGGGTGATAGTCATGATTAAAACCACGTGATCTAGTAAGGCGTTTGCATGCTTGGCTTTCTTTATCATATGGAGTTCTGGATTACAGATCTTTGCTTGGAATATTTCTTACCTTTTTCTTCCTTGTTTAGGGTTCTTTGTTGATTTCTTAGTTTAACTTTAATTTGAACATCAATATTTATTTCCCTCCTGAAAGATTGATTGATGATAGTAAAGGTGTAACATACAATGTATGTTATTACTTTATATGCTTTACTTTTTCAGACTTCAGCATCTGGCTTATGGAACAGTCACTTACAGTGATTACTGGTTCACTACTATTTCGCAGTCTTACAATAACTTCTGGTGTTTTCAGGACAACAACTCTACCAGCACTATTTGTTTTTGGAAAGGATTCAATCGATGTCTCTGCTTGTGCCAAAACTTTATCTCAGTATATTTTGTCCAATGGCAAGCCTGTTTTGGTATGCATCCTTGATCTTAAATCACTGTTTCTTTTTTGTTTTGGATAAGCATACCAAATTCATTAAGAGGAATGAAGGAACAATAACAACAACCTAGCCAACAAAAAGCATAGACCCAAGCAGCCAAAACAGCTTCACTCCAATAAACTTGGGTGCTTCAGTTATTTACAATAAAAAAAGGTCATGTTACAAAAAAGAGTAGTAGTATTAAAATGAGCCAGAATCTTCTACACCCATAAAAACCATCTTGTTTCTCTCTAACCAAGTACACCAAAAAATACCTAGGAACCCAACTCACCAAAGAATTCTCCCTTTGTTGTGGAAAGAGGGCGGGGTGGGTGGAGAAGGACCTCATAATTATAGCCCAAACTCCTTTAGACAGGAGGCCACCCCAAATACCTGCCAAAAATAACTCTCCTACATCTTATGATCAAAAGGACATTTCCAAAGCTGTGATCCAAATTTCAGATGCTTGCTTGCAAATAACAAACCACTTTGTCCTGAGAACAATCAAGAATGATCTTTGGATAAAGTCTATGGTGTCAACTTTCCCTAGACTTATTTGGGGGCTTGACCTTGTAGCTTTGAACAAAAAAGAGACTCCTATTTGTTTGGAGAACAATGTTGCAAGAGAGCGACTCATGATAAAAACGATGACTCGAGAGTCAAAATGTTCTTACCTCTAGAAGCCAAGTAGAATGGACAATATAGAGGATAACTCAATTGTCTCTAAATTAGGAGCTCTCCTAAAATTGAATATTGAGTATAGTCCTTTGCTTGGTAAAAAAGAGAAACAATCAGGGATTATTTACTCCCTAATTGCAAAATGAAGCCATTCATTTCTTAATTATATCATAATTCAATCAGGGATTATTTACTCCAACTAAGGTTGCATTTTTCCTTTTTCTAGTGGTTGTATATTCACTCGAAAGCTTATACTCTGAAATGTAGTATCGATGTAGCTTCAAGATGTTTATCTAGGAGTTTGAAAGCTTGTCTATCTTCAACAGGTTCTTTTTGGGTTGGAATATGCACATTCAGTGGATGATCTTAGGAAAAAAGTGACAGATTCATTTCAGACGAGTGATTTGAGGTCAGAATTGGAAGTTCATTTTGCAGATGTTAAATGTTCAAGTTTGGATCCGTCCTTGCATCATGAGAATGTTGCCAGAAGTGGGGAACAAGTTGCCTATGCTGAAAGTGGGAGTTCTGAAAATATAGCTGGGACCAGATATCACATTGGAGGCTTGATTTGGAATTTACCCAGACAGCGAAAAATAGAGGATTACTCGCTTTTCTGGATTGGTTCTGAAAATTCAGCCTTCGCAAATGTGGTTCTGACATTTAATTGTTGTGAGATAGGTGCGTGGATTGCAATGTTCTGCATTGAAGTTATCTTATTAGCTACATTGCTAAATTTTATTGTATGTGCCCATTTATTATGACAGTGTGTCCTCGATCATGACCCATGTAGCAGTGGTTCCGGCAATTTTGATTGTTATACTAAGCTAATCCATAAATTTCTATTCTCACAATTGGTCTTAACTTCATTGTAATTGATTTTAGTCAGATACGATGCAAAAGAAAGTTGCTTGGTATCTGATGTATCTAAGCATAGAAGGATCCTCAAGCGCAGGTAACATTGACACCGCACTCATTCATTATTTATGTTTATTCCCTTAAACTGTTTGTTGTTGATATATTTGCAAGGTAGCAATTAGCGTGTCTTCTGTTGTTGCAATTACATTCTCCAGTCATAAGTGGGTTTTTTCCCCTTTTTTGGGACAATAAAACTGGATACAGTAAACATCTTCTTGTTCCTTGTTTTTTTTTTTTAAATTTACTTTATCTTATTATGTTTTAGCAGATATTACTTGGTGGAGAAGGCAAAGGATGCTGCCATTGTTGGAATTTTGGTCGGTACTCTTGGCTTAGGTATGTATGACAATAAAAGAAAATTTTTGGGCATATTGTACTTGATAGTCGAAATGTCTGAATTTTCATGTAGTATAACATTTTATGGGATCAAAGATTAAATTTCTAAGACTAATTAGAAATTCTTTTATTTATTTTGTTTTTTTTTTCCTTTCAATTTTGTGTTTGGACGATTCCCCATTCTTTCTTCCTTTTATTTATTTTGATATGGAAAAAGAGAAAGTTACATAAAAGAGGGGAAGGTAGGTGAAATATAAGGGAGGCAAATGCTGCATTCAAAGACTGAGTTTCAAGAAGGTTCTCTAGTTTGTTTTCAACCATAAAAATAGGGTACTTACAAAAAAGTTTAGAAAGATCAATCCAGGAGGTGGTAATAGAAGCGACGGCATCCCAAACTTCATTCATGCAACTTTTTACTACTGAGAAGTGAGAACCCTCCTATTTCTTTCCAACCAAGCTTTTCAAATGGAGGTCACAATACAATTTATCCATAGAAAACTGCACTTATCTACTGAATGATGACTAGAAAAAACTTGATAGGTAAATCTCATACTTTCCCAAACAGTGGTCAATTGTTTAGTTGAGCAATACCTCGTGTGCTTTGTTGGTAGCAAACCAAAGTCTTGGGCAAACAAATGTATCCTATAGGCAGGGTACTGGTACAATACCTTCTATTACATCTCAACCAAAGCAACTCCTTTCCAAATGATATCCGGTTATCCACCTCCAGCTCTGGTTTGGTAATGCCAATCTTCCCTACCATCGTCAAATGCTCAAAGAGGGGGATGCCATCCACGACAACCTATAGTTGCAATTAACTCAAGCACAAGATATTATGATGAGCAACACTAATGAGCATCGAAGAAGATTGAGTCTATTTGACGTTGCAAGTTATAGTGAAAAATAAATGGAAAGTAGAGGGAAAATGAAATTGGCTCATAAACATTATGAACCTTTCCAAGTGGAAAAAGAAGTGGAAAAGTGGCTTATGGCTTCAATTCCTGGAAGAGTCAGGGATCTGTCTTGTTTAGTGTTTTCCACATGTCCTAGCTCAAAGCTACAAGGGGCACAAGTTTGAGTCCTACACCCTTTTTAGATTTCCTTCTTCTAGAGGTTGGGACTACTTTTAACCCTACTATGGTAATGGGAGTTTGCTCTGCTGGGGATACTTCCTTGGGAGATGAAGAGGCTTGTATTCAATGGGAAAGTAAAGAAGTTGAGGAATCATCATAGGAGCCATATGATTTACTCAAGCACTTTCCTGTTTTTCATCTTGAGAATAATGTGAATCTTTCAGTTGGGATATTGATAGGAGTGGAAGCCACTGATATGCTTCGTGTATACTTGGATAAATAATTGTGGAAAGAAAATTTTTTCTAAAGTAGTGGCAGTTGGGGTGATTTTATATATAGGAAAGGGAGACCATGAACTTGATGGGACAGGAAAAGTGATGTAAGTGTGTGCGTGCACAGTAGGCAATAGGAAGTGAGCCCTCTATTTTGTAATATCGTTAGAGTAGGCTATAAGAGGAAAGGGGAGAGAAATATAAGTGAGAGAATAGTTAGGAATTGCAGTGGGGAGATTCAGAGCTCAGGAAAGTTTGAAGGTTCTGTTAACCTTTTCCTATCCACCTTATTTTGGAAATGTTACTAAATTTTTAGACCAAGATTGTTAGAATGTTGAGCATTGAATGTTGTATTTTTTTTATATACGCTCATCTTCTTTATCTATTCAGCTAATAGGATTTTTTTCTTCCTTCCGTTGAGGTCCGAAGGAATATTGTTCTAGCCTATGTATTGTGGATTTTAGAAGGCCTTTTAATTTCATGATGGTTTATGCAGCTGGTTACCTCCATATCATTCATCAGATGAAAGAGCTGATCACTGGAGCAGGGAAGAAGGCTTATACTCTTGTTATGGGAAGACCCAATCCTGCTAAACTTGCCAACTTCCCTGAGGTTTTTGTCCGACTCAAGCTACTTACTTTGGGTTCTTTTCCATTGCTTTACTGGTAGTCTAATTCCTTAGCATTTGTTGCAGTGTGGTGTTTTCATATATGTTTCTTGTGCCCAAACTGCACTAATGGATAGCAAAGAGTATTTAGCTCCAGTCATTACTCCATTTGAAGCGACACTCGCTTTCAGCAGGTACCTCTAATGTTTGTGTTGGTTCATCTTTAATTTCTTGAGATTGTGCCATTTGAGATGTCTTAGTTCTGTAAACTCAGGGCCAAGTTTTGGTTCAAGTCCTAATGAAGCCGAGATGGAACCGTCCTTCTATTTATGATTTTCTTATGAATTTTCTCCCCAATGATGATTGTAATATCTATATGCGTTCCCTTATATGGCCTTTCATGAAGTTATCAAGCATGCATAGAAATACTTTTAAATTTGCTTGCTCTAGAAGACGTTATAAATTCCTTTTGGACAGATGCTTTTCGAAGTTAGTGATGGACAAACTATTAAATTTTGGGTAGGTGTTCAGTGCAACAGAAATCTCCTACCATTCCTCTTTCTTAGATTTTAAACTCTCACAGATTCTTAGCAGTTTTTAATTCATTCTTGCTGGAAAACTGAATCACGAGGTTGGCTAGTCAGGTTCACAAGTCACATTTTATTTTCCAATATGCTGGTGAACATGAACATATGCAAATATACAATCAAATGTACAGCATCGTTGTAAATGGAGAAAAGAGTATATTAACTTCAGATGTAAAATAAAGAGGGGATATTTTAGCTCTTATTTTTAAATTCCATTGAGATCTTAATTGAAGAATGGCAAATTTTACTTGTCCAGAGGAAGTCAGTGGACAGGTGCCTACGTTATGGAGTTTCAGGATTTGATTTATTTCTCAACACCTAAAGAAGGAAACCGATCAGATGAAGCTCGATTTTCTTTCTTGCAGGGCGGATACGTCGAAGATTGTGATTCCCAAGGTACTGACCCTTCATGTTCATTGTTCTAGCTCTTTTTCATGCTGCAAGCAAGTGCTTTTTACAAACTTTTTATACAACAAATCTGTTTTCAAAACAGAACATGCTGAGGAAGAAAGTGAAGCTGGTGCTCTTGTAAGTGCAACAGAGAAGGCTCTCCAGTTACGCGATAATCAGAACTCGCTAACTGTGGGAACTGCCCGAACTGGAGCAGAATTTTTTGCAGCACGTTCCTTTCAAGGTTTAGATATTAGCAATGGTGGTTCCCAGCCAGAGCCATATCTAATAGGGAGGAGCGGGAAGGCGTCCGGGTACCGAGACGAGAAAAACAGGCAAGAGGAAAAATGTTGAAGATGGGAAGTGAATTGAAGCAAGTTTGTAGGTCCAGTGCAGGTCGGGGAGATGCCATCAAGCTTGGGAAAAGAGATTTTGAGTGACTAAGTTTGTTTGAAAGAGAATTCTTAAGATAGTCTTTTTTTTTTTAAATAAATTTTGAAGTAGTTTTGAAAAATTGGGATAAATGACTGATAAATATTAATATTATTGTGCCCAATCAAGTTACTATTTATAAACTTAACTATAGGAGAAAGAATAGTTTTAGAACAAATCATTCATGAAAACATAATAAAGGAAGAATAGTGTTATTTTTTCTATAGTAAAATTATATTTTGATCTGTACAATTTTATTTTAGTTTCTAAATTTTTGCACAGTCTGCCTTAATTTGGTTTAAATCTTATTTTAATCTTAAATTTCTGTGTTTATTTTATTTTGGTTTTTAAAATTTTAAAAGATTTATTTTAGTCCTTTTTTTAGTACAACATATTGGAGAGGGGATTTGAATTTATAACTTTTAGATTGAAAGCGTATGTCAATTACTATTGAGTTAGGTTTGTTTTGGCGTTTATTTTAGTCATTCAAATATGAAAATAATCATTTTATTGTTTTGTCACAGGTTGTTTGGTTTAAGGTTTTACCAAATGCCCATAGGAATAGGATTGTTGGGAATAAAAAATTACTATGTTTGATTATGCATGGAAATATTATTGGATTTTTGTAGGAATAAATGATGTAGTCGTTGGTTTTACGAGATTAATAATCTTGGGAGCCTATATTAGTTAATAAAATGATTAAAAAAAAGAAATATGGTTTTTTTGAAAAAAATTATTATAAAAAATTAATTGATTGTAAATAATCAATGAATAATTAATTGTACTTATTAAAATGAATCCTTAGATATATTTAATATATTGTTAATTAATAAATCAGCATTTCAACAATACTTGCATCAATTTATCACATTTTTATATAAAAAGAACTAAGTATCTAATTTAATAAATTAATTTATTTCAATGGAATAATTAATTCAATACGTTATCATCAAATTTTTAACGTGATTTTATGGATTATAAATTTAATTAAAATATATTAACTAATTTGAATTAATTCATCTTAATAAAATAAAGTACACAAATACATGAAACAAATAAAACAATTAGTTAAGAAAGAGAGAGGAATCAAGAAAACCAGTATAAGGGATGAATCTATTTGTTATATCCAATATTACAAATTTTGTTTTTTCAAATAACTAACACGGCGTAGTTCAGTTGTCAAGACATTTACTCTTCCATCCTTTGAGATCAGAGGGACTTTTATTCTCATTCCTGTTCCCCGTTCCAAACGACATAGTTTTTCCTCCAAGATACGAGGATCTGTGCTCCAGATGCTACAAAAGCCCATGTAAGTTCGATCCCACACACCCCGCCTCTTGTACCAAAAAAAAGGAAAAGAAGAAGAGAGCCTCCGCAGCCTGCAGCCACCAAGTGTTGTGTTTTGACCATTTGTGTGTACAAGCTATTAATGTCTAATTTATGACTTGCTTTGTTTGCTATTTCTTCTAAAATTGTCTTTTCTCTTTTTATTCTTATTTTAATTTTAATTAAATAATACGTTTGGTTAAACTTTCAAGGTCGTATTTTAGTTTTTCAATTTAAAGGTGTATCTAAACTGTCAACATTATATCTAATAAGTTAAAAGTTCAGTATAAACATCTTTAAGCTTTCAATTTTGTATCTAATAAGTTCATTAGACATAATATTAAAAGTCTATGGATCCACTATTAGACACATAATTAAAAATTATATGACCCACCATATGCGGTGTACCTTTTAAAATCTAGAGATATATTAGACACAAATCTGAACAAAATTTGTAATTTAACATTTAATTTTGATGATTTACAGAAGTAAAAGATTATTATCCACTTAAAATTACTATTAGTTTTGAAAGAAAATATTAACTTCAAAAAAAAATAGTTACCTGGGGAAAGATTTTTCATTTTTTTAAAAATACAACTACATGTGGAGGTAGAGATTCGAACTCACGACCTTATGGTCGGAGATAAGTGTCTTAACCAGTAAAGCTAAATTTAAGTTGGCATATTTTAAACATGTGAGAGAGTTATAGCTAGGAAATGGCAATGGAACATGATTGCAAAATGGTTGGGCAATTATGTCTCCACCCATGACCTAGTTGTATAAATTTTACGGGCGAGGTCAAAAGTTTATTGGACTATTTTATCAATCGAGTACAATTTATAGTATTTGTGTGCTACTTTTTTTTAGTACAATATGTGGAGGTGGATTCGAATTTGCGACCTTTTAGTCCAAGATACGTTAAAACATGTACTCTACCTTTTTGGAGGTCAAAGATTCAATTCTAACTCTTAAAAAACCATTTACAATATAAAACAAAAATAAAATATTAATATAAACAAATCAAATTAAAAGAAAAAACGAAATCGTTACCAAATCTATCCTTACGCGTAAAGAAACAATTATATCCCACTTTATAGATAGATTTTGGGATTAGGTATTTTTCAAAAGATAAATAACATTAAAATTTGGAGCCAAGAAGATAGAACAAATCAACAAAAATTCAAAAAAGGGGACCAAGCAAACATGGAACACCCCTTTTGAATACCCTTTTTTTTTAAGGTTTGATCTTTTGATGTCATCCATGTTGCAACAAGTCAAACATAGTATGCACAGTTAAAAAAGTTTTTTTTTTTCTTTTTTTTTATAAAAATAATTATTAAACAAAAAAGAGTTTGTATTTTTTTAATAGCCACCTTTCTAACAAACTTGGGTGGTTAGGTCATCCAATTTCTTGACATTATTTGCTTTTAATACAAAACTTCTATTTAGACTCTGAAATTTGGGTAAACTGTCATTTTTAGTTCTTTTTTCTTCTATGATATATGGTTTTTTTTTGGTAATCACTCCACGAGTAGAGTACTCGTAGTGAATTAAGTATATTAGATTTTGAAATGGACCAAGATTTTTTTGTTTATTGATCAATAGAAAATTAATAACAGAAACTAAAATAGCTTAAAAGTTTTAGAGAGTAAAATAGAATATTTAAAAGTTTGAGAATAAAAATTAAATAGACAAGAATGTTTACCAAAATAAATTAGTGTGAGTTTGATGACTTTTCCAACCGTAAATAATAATAATAATAATAAATAAATAAATAAAACTTTTAACGGGTTAAAATAAATTTTTAAAATTTTCATAGTGGGATAATCAAAAGTTAATTTGAAAATCATTAGAAAAAAAAACACTTAATCAGTGTGTATTTTTCAAATGTCATACTAAAACTCGCAATAATTCATGGTTTTTTCAAATAGTGTTAAACTTTAAAACATTACTATCAAAAGTTTTTTTTTCTCTCTCTTTTTGTAAATATCTAATCTTAATTTCAAGAAATTCAAGAATTTGAATGTACAATTAGGTAAGATTAATTAAAACAAACCACAATAAATTATAGTATAGATATAATAATAGCATTATTTCATTGAAGTGATTCTTAATTATTTTTAGAGTGATATATATGAAGACAAAATTGTAAAAGAGCCAATATATGGTAACTTTTCAACCAAAAGGTCTTTAATTAGATTGGTTAATATTCAATTTCAATTTCTTGTATGATTTGAATATCAGTATGGTATCTTTTTTTTTTATAAGGAGGTTACTTTTGACTTTAAAAGAATTTATTTTATGTAAATGTGCGAAAGATCTAAAATGAAAATAGTTTGATAAAATTTGTTTGAAGAGACAAATTATTTTAAGAATATTAAGGGAATTTGATTTGAATTTATAACTCATAGAAGAAGGCATACCTAAACTAATCTTACAAAGGATAATAGTATAATAAAACTTGAATCAAAATAATGGCAATATTTGTTTGCACTTTGTGTGTAATGAAGCAACATAAGTATATGGAAGGCCAACATTTGGCCAAGGGATAAGAAAGAAATAAAATAATAAAAAAACAAAGGAATTCTTGTATTTTCTCCTAATTACAGAAGATATATAGAATTTGATTTAAAAAATAATCTCTCTAGTGACCCGGGCCGCTGGGACTTGGTCCAGACGATAGCTTTCCAAGCCAACACGAGACAGTGTCCTTTGCTTTCTGATAAACAATCGCATATGGGTCGATAGGATCAACTCCATGTTCTGAAGTTTTTGGGAGGACTCGTGCTGCATCAACCACACTGATCTGACTCAAAACAATACCGAAAACAACACAAACAATAAAAAGGAGAGCGATCTTTGGTAGCTTCATGATGCTCACAAAAGCAAAGATTTTTGGTATGGCTTTTGGGTTTTGGCTTTGGGAAAGCAGAGAAAATTTGAGGAAGGGTTTTGGGTTTGGATGTGTGATTTGGAAATGGGATTTGATTTGGGGAGATTTTATAGTGAATGAGAGAGGGGCATTTTTGGAAAAGGATTTGATTTTTGACCAGAGGAAAGGGAATAGAATGGTGGAAATTGAGGGGTTTTGCTGGGAAATGTAATCTTTGAATTGGTCAACGTGTCAAACTATGAATACTTGACTAATTCCATATTATTTCATCACCAATTTCAGCCATAAAATAAGGGCAATTATATATAAAATATTTAGAGGGCTGAATAAAGTTGCTTATTTAGTAATTCTTTTTAATCAAACTTTAATCTAAAATTAATTATAATCAATCTAGGATAATTTTACTCAATTTATTTAGCAAGTAGTGTAATTGAAAATATAAAAATTTAGGGAAAAGAAATGACACAAAGTTTGTCTGGGAATCTCTATTCCACCCCGAAAACTACTTCTGAATTAATTTATGACCGATCATCTTTACAATGAGAACTAAACCGATCAACAAATCTTTTTGCTGGTTATAGGAATATGAACTCTTATGTCCATTTTTTTTTAGATCAACATCCAACCTATACTAATATTTTTTTATTGATTTAAGATCAAACCGCTACAGCCATTTTCATTAGTTCAGGATCAAACAAATGCAAATCCTTTTTCGGGTTCAAGATTGAACCAATCACTCACAATTCTAAGAAGCTCCCGTGCCTTGATACAAAATCTCAAATAATATACAATAAATTGAAACTCACAAGGTAAACTAAGTGGGCGAGTGTACAAGTTTAGCACTAAAAAACGATCTAATCTCTCAACTAATTTTAGCTCAGAAGTTTGAACTGTGAAAGAAAATTTTCATGAAGGTTGTG